GAGCTCAGCTCGGCGCTTGACTCATGTTGCACATCCGACATCATCGTCGGTTTCTGTATTTAGACTTTATTTTTTTTTTATTTTTGCAATTCAAACGATTACTTTGATTAATACGGGTATGCCGCTTAGGTAATTGCAAGCGAGCATTCGATATGCATGCCTAGATTGCCAGCCGGAATAGAACAGCTCTGAGAGATGCTGTCAACAGTCAGCGGCCAATAGGCCCCTTTAGACCAGCATCATGTTTGTGACTCGCGCACACAATTTAGTCAATTATTTTGCAGCGATTATCAATTGTAGTTGCGGCAGAGCTTTCAACACCAACTTGTCACGGACAAGATGACAATCTACGGACTAACAGTCCCCGAGCTATGCAATCGATGACTAAACGACTTGTTTTAAACACTTTATTTTCGGATTTTTGCCAAAAGAAATAATTACGTTTGTGAAAAATTCGCTGTCATCGCTTTTAATTTCATGAGGCGTTCGTTGCCTTGTTCTTAATGCGCTGATGATTTGTGATCATGATTTTATACTTTCAACTTTAGGCATACGTACACATTAATTTGTTGAATAATGTTATGTCTTTACAATTATGCCACATGTGTGGTGGCTGAGTATTGAATATTTACTTCTCTTTCTACATTGTGTTGGATTCATTATATACTTCAAAACTGGGCTCTGCATTTGAAAGCCAGCAAAACTCATTTTAATTGATTTATGTTTCTACAAAGATCACAGAACAATAATACTATAATAAATATTTTTTAGAAAGCAGATGAGTATTAGTCTTCATTTTCGAAATTCTCTTGTAGGATTCAAGTTCTCCTTTTTTGTATGACCATTTCAAAATTAAAGCACTTGAAACTTTTGCGTATCAATCTTTTCAAAACTCTTGCATCCATTTGATATGTTTGTTCAGCATATACTAATATGTCGTTTTAATTTACTGATTCAGCTCCTACGAAATATGATTTTTAAAAACAATCGAATTATACCTTTATATAGTATTTATAGGTGGTTTATAACTTTCCCATATATTACTACGAAAACTACCATGAACATAAGAATACTGTCAAGTGCTTACAATTCAGGAACATTTAGGATCACTCTTGAAATTAGAAACTTAAACATATAAAATCGTAGTCATAAAGTTTCTTTATTAAATATTGTTTGCCAATGGCAATCCAATTTACTCCAATTACTTCACATTATGAGAACTAAATCGCCTAGGACAGCTGTAAGATGCTCTCCCCGGCAGTTATAATTCCATTTTTTGTCACTTTTGAACTTCCACTTTAGCTTTCCGGTCGTGGGACCACCTCTATCGGGAAGTTCAATTTGTTGCTTCTATGACTCAGCTTTGAGTTTTATGTTTGATGTCTGATGTTTGATGTTAACCATGTCAATGGCTCGCCATTTCCTGCCCAGCTTGGCCAGATATTCATAATTTTTTGAGAAGGAGGCAAATGTGAAATAAACACACACACAAATACGGTACAACAACAACAAAAAGTAGGTCGCATTACGTCGCAATTTGAATGAAAAAAAAAATAAAAAAGAGCGCACAGGCAGATTGTAGGCAGCAACAACAAATGGCATGCTGCGGCAACATGTTGCCAGACCGCAATGTTGCCAAGGCTTCCAATTAAATTACATACCAACGCGTAGATTTGTTGTCCAACCAGGTGGTGAAGACGGTAATCATGCAATGCAATTAGACTGAGGTAAATATTTAAAAAAAAAAAAGATACACAAAAAAAATTAAAGTCCGAAAAATACGTAATAAAATTAAATCAAAACAAAAGTGGCCATCATGATATTAGAGGCTGCGGGCTTTGTGCGTGCATATTGTTGTTGTTTGAAACATTTTTTTTTTTAACTTTTAACTCTTTCGCTTTGAATATGTGAACTCATTTCTGAGGCTGAGCGCGGGTCTGCGCTTGATGGCAACTTCCGTCGTTATTGTTATTGTTGTTGTTGCTGTTTTTGCAGTCGCAGCCACCGCCGCCGCCGCCACCGCCATCATCAACACATTTCATTGAGCGTGAAATAGAAACAGAGAAAGTATGAATATCTACAGTAAGTTTGCTGCTGTTATTGTTGTTTTTGTTGTCGTTATTTCTCTGCTCCACTGCCAACTGTCCGTGCCTAGTTGTTTATTAAAGTTTTCCATTGTCTGTCTCTCTGACTCTGACTTGGGCTCACTGCAGTTTTTTCTTCTTCTTTTTGCTGGAATCACCGCCCCATACCCCTTGCCCAGAGCTTTTGTGGTTTTTGCCGGCACCGGCGTCAGCATTTCTTTTTTTTTTTTTTTTGTTAATGCAAATTATCTGGCGCGCGCTTTAGTTTAGTTAATTTCATTTAAGCTTTTCATTTCATTCCACTTACAATTGTCGCTGCATTTTATTAGCGCAGATGTTGGTCTCCAGATAGAGAGGCGCGCGCTGACTTCTCAGATTTATGGCCGGTGGTTTTCATTGCAGTTTTCAACTCCACACATACATACATACATACTATATATACATATGTATGCATACATATAGGTATGTACGTGTTTGCTTCACCTTTTCCGCGTTTCGTAAACACTGTACGCGATAAGCCCGAAAACTCATTTGCTTTCTTAACGTTTTCATTTGTCTTGTGGTGTGGTGGCAATAATTTTAATTGGATCGTAAAGATTTTCGATATACTATTGCAGCTCCAGTGTTGCAGAAAACAGAATATTACTCGCTCGAATTATATTATTTCCATATTTGTTCAATTTTTCCATTCGAAGGCTTGCACTTTGCCTCAAAACTATCGATTAAACTTTGCATGCCAATTCAGTATCTCTGTGGGCCTTGATCCAAAAATGCCCCACCAGCTATTAGTCATGGCCCAGTGGCAACGAAAAGACCCGCACCTGTCAATTATGCAAATTAGTTTTTGTCATATTGATGCTTAAAGTTGACAATTGGTTGACATTTTGACTTGGCAATGAATTATACAGAAGAGGGCTATTGCTAAACGATTAAATATACAACTAAGTAGTTTCTAAAGAGGTGAAATTTAAATGAACTCGATTGACAAAATATTGTTGAAAGAGTATCTGAACTAATCAGTTTTGTTATGGCAAAATCAGTACGCCTGATAACCAGGTTAAAATTAGCCTTTATATAAATAAAGAAATAAAACAGACATTATAATTCGATACGAGTATCAAAAACTTGTTGGGCATATGATTGCAAGAAAGTAATTTTTTAGTAACCAGGATTCAGGAATCCGTCGGAATTGAAGAATCAACAAAAAGTACATAGATCTGTATCAAAAATAAACGGATGGATGTCTATTTTGTGCAGTATGTATATTTTATTGATTTGTCAAAAAAAAAAACCATCTCTATAAGCATTAATTTCAAGCTTTACGTTTTTTATAAACTCTATAATTTATATAATTCCCAGCAATTTTATTAATCATTCTAAATATTTTTCAACAAAATCTCATCTTCTTAAGTCAAAAATAACGAAATTAAAATAATTTAAAACAGGCTGAACATTTTACTTTCCCCTCTTGTTGGATCAACGACCATTTTAGAAAAATTTGAGAATTAATGTGTTGCTTCGATGGATAAATGGATCTTATTCTAACTGAATTAGGCTGTCCACAACTAAATAAATTTGCAAATAATAAATAATATATTAATAAATCGTAAAATGTTTAAGAATTCAGATTATTTTGGTTTCTAACAATTACTTCACTTTTGTGGACACAATAAATAAATAAATAGTAATAAATAGTATGAATACCACTTTCTTGCTAATCTCTAAGGGTTTCACTTCTCGGAAACTACGACAATTTGCCAAAAAAAAAAAGAATCATTCAAGGTTTCAACTGACAGAAGTAACTACTTGTATTATATGTATATATAAGAAGAAGATTTTATACAACAACCGAATCGGCGGAGGACCTATTAAATTATTTGCCTTTAAGTTTTTTCTTTCTGTGTATAAATGCATTCAATTTGCTTAATGTGCCATTTTAAGTCTCAAAACCCGAACAAATGGCCAAATTGTGTAGCACTTTCTGTTGATGCGCTTTTAATTTCTTTCCAGCCGGGCTTGAAAAGAAACGTCAGGGATTTGTGGTTGTGGGAGTGGGCGAGGGCGGTGGTGGGGGCGGGCAGTTGGCGGTTAGGGGGGCGCTCAGCCATTGAGGCAGACGTTGACTCTGACTGTGCTGTGAAGAAGTGAAAATTCAATTGCATTTTAATTTGAATAATGTGCATTATTTCGGCGGCTTGGCTTGCCATCTTTTTTCCACACTTTTGTTGCAATGCCGCGATGTCTTTTGTTTTTCTTTTGTTGTTGTTGCTGTGGCTGTGACTGTTGCAGTTGGTGGTGTCAAGAGCCAAGGCGGCATTGTGTGGCTTGCAGTTTTCTTTTCGGCAACGCCAATTGTTTTGACTGCCGCTGCACCGTGGTACAAAAACGATGGGTAATCCACGAGGTGAAGGGTTGATATTTTGGCAAACAATTGGCAAATTAGTGAGCTTCCTCGGTAATTAAAACATAATTAGCATGTGAATGTGACATGTGTCAAAAAATTGTTGAACGTTTGAACGTTGGAGAAGAATTGCGAGAGGCTCTCGATGGTTGAAAATGCAAATAAAGTTTTTACAATTAGCAGATGCCTGAGTAACGACAACAGCAACATCAACAACAACAACAAAATGGTGAGCTGTGTGTTAACCTTGCGGTTGCTTGCCTCCATTGTTGTAGTAGTAGTAGTAGCAGTTGTTGTTGTTGTTGTTCCTGGGTACGTGCACATTGTTTGCTTTACTTTCATTGTCTGGTTGGCTCTGGGTTGCTGGTTGTTGGTTGTTGGCTGGCTGCTTAGTTACTGTAATTGCCGGCGGGCAGACACGTCATAGAACAAACAATAAGTTTTTATCTTGGACTCGCAGCAATTCGCTTTATATGTGCATTTAATTAACTTTCATTTTTTCGCCATTGTTGCAGAAACTCGAACAGGAGAAGCATGTGCTGCGCCAAAAGCTGGCCATTGCCGAGGATGAGAGCGATCAGCGTGTGCTGGAGCTGCAATCGGATCTCAATGAGCTGAAGGACAAGCTAACATCACAGGATGCGGCCATCAGGCAGGCCGAGAAGGAGAAGACCATACTGATCGATGAGCTTCAACATCAGAACACTCGCCTCACCGAGCAAATACAAGAGGCCCATGCCACCGAAATGAAGCTAAGCGCACAGATACAGGAGCTTAAGGATCAGTATCACTACAGAAACAGCAGCTTACAGGTACATATATCTATCTTGCCCAAATCCTAACACAGTCAATCATCAAAACGACATTTACAGGAGCACGTCAACAGTCTAGAGTCCATCAAAACCGAACTAAACCTCACCACGGGCAAGCGCCAGGAGCTGGAGCGCCGCCTGCAGCACGTCCAGGAGGAGAAGCAGAGCCTCACATCGGCCCTGGAGGAGGCTTCGGACAGAATACACATGCTGGAGCGCCATGCACGTGAGCAGGAAACAAAATTAGAGGTGAGTTGAACAGTTGGAATCAAATTAAAACTTAACTCAAGTACTAAGTAATATTCTTTATATAGAAGTTACATATTAAGAAAATGGCAAGTGAATCCTCTTTTATATTTGAGAATAAAAGAAGATGCATTTAAGAAATTTCTAATTCTATCTACAGTATCTGTATAACCTATCCGAATTAATAATGTATGTGGAGATACCCCTTAGTTCTTTAATACATTTAAAAAAGTATACGGTTCTTACAGCTCGATACGTACTTATCAATTATTGAGAGCTTTAGCAAAAGGTACCTAGCTAGCAAAAGGTCTCTAAAATGTTAACTTCTCATTCAAACGAGGGTAATTTTTGTCGGGGGTTCAACACTACCCCTTCTTCTTATCAAAACAATTTAAGGCTGAATCAGCCAACTCTACTTTTCATCGAAACCATCGAAAAACCATTCCATATTCCAAGGAAAATCAAATTGCAGCAAAATATTTCCGAAAGCAGTGGGATTGCAAATATTGTATTCGCGAGAACAACAGCAATATTGACGTCATCGCAACTCTTATTCTCACTTTATCGCTGGCTGCTTGCTTTCGAAATGGAGCGAAATCGTGATTTATGAATTGCAAGATTATTTAAAAATATACATACGAGTACACCAGGCGGCAAAAGTAACTTAACAGAGGTGCCAATTATTTAAGAAATTTAAATGCAATTAGGACTGATTTAACTTTTCAAGTTGACTCAACACGGAGTCCGGATGTAATGTTTTTCATCATCAAGTGTGAATTATCATCAGAAAATTGTTTTGAAATAAAATATATGATCAATAAACAATATATATGATCTACAAAAGAAAGAGCTTATCTCTTTGTTTGTTTCGTTTGCAATTCTTTTATGAACTGCTTATAAATAATCTGTAACTATGAATGCTATATTTCATAAAACAAAAAACAAACAACAAAAAATCAATATTTTGACGTATTTTTATTACTTATTGTTATTATTATTATTATTTTCGCTGCTAAATATACAAAATGACCGGATTTATTTTCGTTATAATAATATTTATGAGCTGAATTTAAAATGTGTCAAAATACTTACACCCATTAGTGTATGAGTATATTTATTTTCCAAAGCTCACTGCGCAATTTGTCGAGTGCCATCTATCTGGCCAACTTTCTTTTGCTTTATTTTTCTGTTTTCGTCAAGATAACTTAAATTAACAAATTATGGGTGTAGCTCTTGTCATATATTAGAGATACTTTATTTGTCAGGCTAAACAATTTCTAAACATCTATCTTTAACACTTCCTGCCCTTGCAGACCACCTTACAAGCCTTGGAGCGTTCTCAGCGTGAAAACAATGTACTCAGCGAGCGTTTGGGCGCGGTAAGTCGAAACCCCTGCAGGATATATGGATGCCCACATCCTTATCATCTTCTAAATATGTATTTTATACTCTTCCCACAGGATGCCAATTCCAATACGCCAGGAAAGAAGAGCCTACAGTTTGAAATGGAGTGCGATGAGGAGGAGGCGAGCTTCTCGGAATCTGGCAAGCCCAGTCAAATGTGGGTGGAGGCCCGATCGGTTTACATACAGCTGAAGTCCCTGGTGGATTCGCTCAAAGTTAGCCATGACGATGACTCAGGTAACATAATTCATATAAAAACTGTTTCCCCTTAGTTGCATTTGAAATTATACTTGTATAAAAGATCATTATTGTTTATGAAAATACTAAGGATACTAAAAATGCCACAATATCTGGCACTCTTTGATAAATATTGAGTAATTATCGGAATAATATAGTAGATTTTACTTAAAATAGGACGATAGCTCATATTCATCAGTCGTTTTTGGATATTTCTTTGATCAGATGTAACAGATTTACTATTTCTACAAATATTGCTTTAGTTAGAAATTATAAATCTGAAATTTGTTTAGTCATTTGTTTAAAACAATTTTTCCATATTTTCTATAAAATATTTTAAAGATTTCTTTACGAGCCCAAGTAATATTTTTACAAAACGATATAGAAGTGCTGACTTTCTATGACTAAATCGATAAATATATAGTACTATCTAAAAATCCTGTTTGACTATAAAATATATTAAAACCTATTTAAATAATTACTTACTTACACTCAGGTCTCAATTCCGACATATCCCTCGATCTGGAGTCGATGGACAACACCATCTCGAGCTCAGAACGCAATGATGGCAATGGTGATGGCCATGTGGCCATAGAGTTCCGCCAGGGCATGCTCTCGGCCATGTCCGATGAGCTGACGCGTCTGCTGCTCAACCTGGATGCTGGCAACTTTAAGAAGATGTTGGACCAAACGCGCAATCTTGTGCTGGAGCAGGAGGATGAAATAAAGCGCAGTCACCAGCTCATACAGCAGTTGGAAGCGAAGGTAACGGTCACAGATGTGGAGCTGCAGAATGTGAAGGAGGAGCGAGATCAGGCGCGTGGCGATCTTGTCGACAATACGGATCGTGACGAGCTACTGACAAAGGCGCAAACCGAACGCGATGCGGCCAATGAGCGTCGCACCAAGGCCGAGGTGGAACTGGCCAAGACGCGCGTTGAACTCATGCAGGCCAATAGCCAACTGCTGGAGTCCATACAGCAAAAGGTGGAGTTGTCACAACAGCTGGAGCAGTGGCAAATGGATATGCAGGAGCTGATCGATGAGCAAATGCGCTCCAAGATGATCAACAATCGCCGAGCGCTGGCTGTCGAAGCAACACCCGCGCCAAGCAGCGCCGCCGCCAATCTGGCCAAAAGGGTGTCCAGCTACAAGCTCTGGAGTTTATTTCAGCGGTAATTGGACAACATTGACCACGCGTTGGAAGGTCTACGCGACTCTTATATTTTTAATGTAGGCAAGATGGAAATTAAGATGAAAGCTTGAGCTATATATTTTTAATATTTATACACACACACACATACACACAGGAGTACACAAAAAAAGAAGCCCAGGCATGTATTAACTTTGTAATTTGTATATTGAAGCAATGCCCCCTCTTCTATTTTTTTGTAGTGAAATCTATTTAATTACGCTTTATTAATTTTAAACTTGTAACCTTATTTTATATGTTATATGTATTACTCGTACCTATGTTTAAAACTATTGCTTGTGTAAGTACACAAATTGTCTAAGCGCTCGCTCTCTGTATTAGTTTGTGTTTTAAGTTGTAACCGAAAATCAAAAACATATCGCGCCTTTTCGTTGAGCCTCTGGCAACAGCTTAAAGCATTGCTAAGCCCACAACTTTGTTGCGGTTAACAAATATTTTTATTAACATGTACGTAAACGTATTTAAGTGTAAGCAAAAAGCATTTATGTTAACAGAAAAAGAAACAAACCAACAAGTATACTTACATATAACTTAAAGTTGGCAATAGCGCAAATGAAAACGCTAATAAGGATTTTAAAAAACAAATTGCCTTAATTCAGACAATTAAACGCAACGTTTTAATACTTTAGATTGTTTAATGGCATAAAAGTTGAAATATTTTCAAATAATAAAATATAATAAATCATTAAACCAAAACAACCGACTACAGGGCAACAGTAAATTTTGAATGTGCTTGAATTTAAGTGTTGCCGCCTTTTTACCTTCCCGCTCTGCGGTTTTCCACCAGGTTCGTTGTGTGGTCACACTGATTGTTGCGCTTGTGCGATAGATATCGATAAAGTCACATCGAAGCTGCTCTGTCTTATTGATGCCATCAGCACTTTGTCCAGTGCCATCGCTGACTGTCAGTCGTGAATTTGCTTGCAAGGGGAAAATTTGTCACAGCACTTTTCGTTTTACGAGAAACAATAAAGCAAACATTTCATTCCCAATTTAAAGCAAAAGTAGTAAGCAACTAGAAGAACACACGGCAAACAATGCCTTCGGCTGCTACCGCAATAACCAACCACAACAACAGCAAGGAGAAGCGAGCGTCAGTTAGCTCCATTGGCGGCGGCGTGGGTGGTAGCGTAGGAAACAATGGCAGTGGCAACGGCAACAGCACTAATGGCGGTAGCACCGGACAGAAAAGTAACAGCAACACGAATCTAACTCTCGCCTGCAGCCAAACCGATTTGACCAACAACAACAACCATGGCAGTGCTGGTGGTAATGGCAGTGCCAAGGTGCCTAAAGCAACTGTCGCTGCGTCCGAGCCATTCAATCCGACCAACTTAATGTTGGTCACCACTGGGCACAAGATTCGCAACTTGGAAAAGCGCAAGGTGAGTGCAGTGGCTATGAAAATTAGGACAAAGGATTTGCAATGTGGTGGCATTGCCACCATTGCTTTTTTTTACGCTCGCAATTTTTTCGCGACGCCATGTTTGCTATCTCGCGGAGTTGCCAGTCGTTGACAGCGCAGGGGGGAAGTCGGCGCCGGCACGTAAGCACTTTGCTGAAAAGAAGTTAACTGCGCATTTTAATGCTCTTCGTACACTGCCGTTGGGCGTTTAGTGTCGATGTTGACTCATTTTAGTTTATTGCGTTGCTCCATATTTTGCATAAAATTCATCGGCACAGCTGTTTTGTTGTTGCTATTGAGTTGATAGGTGGCAACGCTGCGATACATGTGCCGAATGCGAAACAAACGTTTATTTGCATGCAGTGATGCACATATGTATGTATGTACGTACAAATACATATAAATGTATGTATGGAAATATGTATATACTTTCGTTTTCTTTTGTATCGCACACTTGTGTTTTTTTGCGTTTATTTATTTGCCGCTATTTTAATGCCCCCTTACCCTACCTAGAAAATTATTCGAGTGCTGGTTTGTAATTGCAAGCGGGCTATGCCGCAAGCATACTCATATATTTGTTGTTGTAGGTGTTTTTAGGCGACGCGGTGCGTGAGTAGGAAGTCAACAACCATGGCTTCATGACTCACGTGCTTGTTTGCGTGTCTTTTGTTTTTATTTTTTAATATAAATTCACCCCATTTTATTTCAATGTCCACAGGCCAAATTGGAATCCTATCGCGCCATACAAACGGGCGGCAAGGAACTGAGCGCTGATCAGGCTGCAGCTGTGGCCAAGTACGATGCCGTTGTTGCCACCCTGGAATTTGCACGCGATATGCACAAACAATTATGCCAGATGAGCAGGGAAGCCGAAAAGGAACATAAGAAACAGGAACGCAAGGTATGTACTGAGGTGCCAATCGGCCTAAAAACCTATTGTTATAATCGGGATATTCGACCATGCAGGACAACCAAGCCAAAATGTTGGCGGAGATTGCCAAAATACGGGAACTTCTGGTCATGCAGAATGTGCTTAGCTGCCTCAACGATGAGAACGTGCGCAATGATTTGCTGAATGGCGAGAATGGTGCCGTTAAGCTGGAAAGCAACGAAATGGACGTATTGGAAAAGTTGTAAGTTTCACAAACATGTACATATTTAATTATACATACATATGTATGCATGTACATATGCAAGTATGACATTGCTCTTCGCCTGGACATTTTTTGTAGAGTTCTCAACACAAACCATCCCAGAAAAATAATTAGTAAACTCTAAAATTCTCTTTATCATTATTATAATAATCTTCAGAAATGTGAACAATAACGAATGTTGTTTAGTTTCAATTTTAATTTACAAAATTTTTACAAGTTGAATTAATATACATAAGTAATATTCTTTGATAAATGTAGAAGAAAGTATTGAATGGATATAGCAGATTTTTGAAGACTATGTTTTCAAATAGTAATTGATAAATATTTCGCCATTCAAAAGATTGAGCTATTTTTATACCCTGAACGCAAAGGGTAAAAGGGTATACTAGATTCGTACAAATGTATGTAACACACAGAAGTAGGCGTGGCGGACCTCCAAAAGTATACATATGGATCAGGATGACAAGCCGAGTCAACATAGCCATGTCCGTCTGTCTGTATGAGCGCAAGGATCTCAGCAAGTACAAGAGCTAGGATAACCAAGCTGGGTATCGAGGTTCCCATAATTCCTAGGCAGATCGAGTTTGCTCTTTTTTTCTAATACAGCCCGCTCTCCGGCGCAATTCGTGGTTTTTCCATAACTCCCGTAATATATTTGAAATTTTGTGCTCAGGTTTGCAAATACCTTCAGTTAGTCCATATGCCAAGCTTCATAAGAATAGGTTAATTATGAAGTTATAGCCATAAATGTACTCTCTGCCGAAGCTCTGTCCGCAGCTGCTTTGAATTATTCCTCTACTGCATACAGACACGCATAGACACGATGATGTAAATGTATGCTGCTGAAATTGTACATAAACATGACATTACTTTTGTATTTATGTATTTATTGAATATTTTTTATTTATTTTGTTATATTATATTTCATTTAATGCATTTTTTAAAAATATATTTTAATATACATTGATATATTTTAAAATTTTGTGGTGAGTACAGGATATTTTACTGCCGGGCTTGCTCGACTATAGTGTTCTCTCTTGATGGATTTAGAAGTAGATAGTAGACCAGTTAATTAAAAGCAAAACTCTTAATTTAAATAATAGTAAATGTATCAAATACTTCTCCACATAACTCGATCTAATTCGGAAGACGTACTTTTTGAAAATGGTTCCCAAATTCAAGGCAAGATAAAAAATGAAGGCATTAAGACAGTACTTGCTCACCACAGATAGTAAAGATTCTGAACATTAATCTACGTATATTCGATAAGTTCTTGGAAACAGCTTATAACATACAATTCTATCCCGGCCTTTGCAGCTACTTGGATGTCCAAACGCGTCGCCCTGAGTCCGCGGATGACGTCAGCTTCAACGTAGCCGTTCAAAAGGCAGCCGATCTCTATAGCATGACTATCAATGGCCGTGCCAAGCCATACGGAGAACTGACATTCGACAAGTTGCGCACTATCTTCCAACAGATTCAGGATTCCGGCTACTTGGACAAGTACTACCTGATACCCATTTCGGATCCAGCGGGCGGCAATAGCACAGACAGCGGCACTGGCAGTGGCGAAGGTGAGATTCAGCCCAACGATGTGACCGGTGATTTGGACACGGCGCTGTCAGAGAATCAATCGGCACGTAACTCTTTGGATGATGGTCTCGATAAGTTGCATTTGGGTGGAGCTGAGGCGCCAGGCAATCATTTTTCCGAGGGCTTGTCACCAATACAGCCGCAGGCACGTGCTGCAGATTCTGGTGAGTTGGAACAGCAGCAGCAGCAGCAACGTCCTGGAGATCCTTTGGTTCTAGTAGCCGTGCGGGAGTATCCACAGCCGCAACCTGCAGCCCGTGGTGCCAAACCCGTGCAGGTCCTCTTACCGACTATGGTGATGCCAAAGGAGCCGCCTAATCAGCCACCATTGCCACATGTGCCACGAGCAGCTGGTGGTGGGTTCTCACCGCAGATAGTGACCGCAACAGCACCACCGCCAAGTGGTGCGCACACACACCAGCTGCTGGGCAGCCCAGTGAATCTTCGTGCTCCTAACTCACACTATGTACCCATGCCAACAACCGTGCACGCCGTAGAGCAGAATTACTTCAAGCAGGCACCACCGCCGCCACAGCATCTGCAGCAGCAGCAGCAACAACAACAGCAGGTGGCGCCGCCGCTGCATCAGCTGGCCGAAGTGTTGGCCTCCGGTAGTTTCCACTTTCTGCAGGACAGTGAACTGGACGCGCCGGAGTTGAATGCGCCGCAACAGCTGCAGCATCCACCGCAACTGCAGCAACAACCACAGCAGCAACAGCCACAGCAGCAGCAGGTTCCGGTGGTGCAGGGATTGGTATTTGAAGCGGCACAGAATCACGTGGAGGAGCCACAACCCATACAGACTCGGACATTCACCAATCAGTCCTTCCCGTCCCTGCAGCAGCAACAACAGCAGCAACAGCAGTTGCCACCACCCAAGCAGCAACAACAACCGCAACAGGTGGCACCACCGCAACAACAACTTTTCTCGCCTGTGACTGGACAAGCGCTTCTAATGCAGCACGAGCAGAGACAACAGCAACAGCAGCAGCCGATGCTCATCATGACACGCCTACAGCCGCAGCCGCAGCAGCAGCAGCCACAAACGCAGCCGCCTGTCGTTTTGCCCCCTGTGCCACCTCAGAATATTGGGATGCAGCCCGGCGACGTGACTGCAGTGTTTTCCTATGACACGGCCGTGGTCACTTATGAGCAGCAGCTGCAACAGCAGTTGGGACTGAAGGCGCATGAGCCACAGCAGCCGGAGGCACCGCAGCAACAGCAGCAGCAGCTGCAGCAACCACAGCAGCCGGCACAGCCACCTCTGAGCAAAGGCAATGGAAACGGTGCCGGTGGCGATGTGGAGACCAATGACTGGCATGCACGCACTCAGGACACAAATGCCGCCGCCACCGCTGCGCTGACTAATGTGCTCAAAACTGGTGCCACGGCGCTCGAGCCACCACCGGTGGTGAGCAACAAATGGAGCAGCGAGATGAATGCTGTGAGCGCAGCCAATGCCAACAACAATAACAATGGCGGCAGCGGCAAGCACGAGTGGCAACGCGATAATTCCAGCAGTGGTGGCTATGTGGAGGAGTCCAACAACCATTGGAACAGCTCGCAGCAGGACAATGGCAGCAATGGGCGTCGCAACTCCGGCAACTACCAGCAGCGTCGTAGTGGCGGCGGCGATGAGCGTCGCGATGGTGGCGGGCGCGGCGATGAGCAGCGTGGACGCAACGGTGGCGGCAACTATCGCACGCGCAATTACAATAACTCGTCGGCGCAACAGCAGAATGGACGTGGTGGTGGTGGCAGTGGCGTCTATTTTCGCAACAATGACCCAACGGGAAGCGGTGGAAACTCCTACTATCAGAATGGTGGGGGCGGCGGCGGAGGAGGAGGCGTCTATGGCAACAAGGAGTCCCGATACGAGGCGTCCGGGGGTGCCGGTGGCGCATATCGCGGTCAACGTGGCGGCCAGCAGCGTAATGGCAACGGACCCTTCGGACGCTCCATGGGCGATCGCAGTCGCAACTCCGGTGGCGGCGGAGCCGTAGGTGCCTCAGGCAATGGTGGTGGCTACATAAACCCGCGCCAGTCACATCAGCAGCAGCACCAGCAGCAACGGATGCCCTTGGGGTTGGAAAACAAAAACTGAGTAATGTTGATGCTGACGGCGGCTGCCGCGACTGTAAAGACAGCAGCTATTTGACCGTGGCACATGTATTAAACTCACACACACACACACACACATAAAAAACACACACTCACACACCAAACTCATCATCAACACAACGCATTTAGTCACCAAACGCAAAATCACCAACCAACATACATGCATACATACACCACATAATACATACACACAGACATACAATACATACGTACGTACTTGGAGAGGACACGTAGTTTGTAGTGACAACGTACAATTAACCGTTAGTCAACAAATTGAACTCCCAACAAATATGCATAATGGCAAAGAGCGAGGGAAGCAGAAGTAAAAAGGGGAATGAGAAAAACGCGGCATATAAAGTAATTACGCATTTTGAATACAACTTATCTTAATATGTTTTGCTGTTTCCCTTTTGTATGATTTATTTTAATTATATACATACATATTAATAATAAACAAATAGTTGATAGACGACATACAAATAACATGCTACAGGAAAGTTCAAAAAGACGAGCCACAAACAATACCAACACACACCCACTCACACACACACACACACACACACACCCACTCACACACACACACACACACCAGCCATAAGGAAAATAACAACAAACAACACTACGCTGAAGGTTTCTAAAACCCCCCAGCGAAGAGAGTAAAAAGAGAGTGCGTGGGCAAACAGCTGCAGTAAGAGAACAAGAGAGGGAGGATAAGTCGCGCCTAAAATGCTGCCACTCGTTGACGAGAGAATAGAAGAGAGGAAAAAAAAAAGAGATCTTTGTTGGCGGCGTTGGAGTTAATAAAATAAAAGTATTTATACGTCTTAGCAATTAAATTACAACTTTGAAATATACAAATTATATTTAATTAATTAATGAAAGAATTGAAAATTAATTATTATCTATATATATAAAATATATTTATAGTTTGAGCTCTCACACACATACACACTCACGCTCCTTCTGTTATGATCCAATTCTGTAATTTAATATGTATAACAAAACAAAGAAGCGCCCGTAAACATGCCAATTCTTACACACAGACACACACACACACATCCAAAACATAAAGCGCATATAGGAAATAGTTGTAATGATTTAAAAAAGAAAGTACATAAACAAATTACTATTATAAATGAAACGAGAATTATGTATTTGAAAAACAGTACATTAAAAATTATATAAGAAGGTATCAACTGTTGATCAAGTCTAATATTTGCAAGCTCTGACAGCCCAAATGCCACCAACTGCCGTTCTTAAACCACATAACCAAAGAGTCTGAGTGCAAATTGTATGTAATGGGCGGAAAGATTTGTGGCGGACCTAACGTTGCAGTTACATCGACTTATAATCAGCCTGACGAAGCGAATCGATTTAAAAACCCCCAATTGTATGACGCATACAGCTAGTGACTTAGCCAAGTATCCTCTTTATTCTATATAGCCGCAACAGGTGCGTTGATGCAAAAATATATCTTAGTACCAAAAAACTGTTGGTTATTGCAAATGGGTTTTAAAACCTTGCTAAAATCTAAAGCTCTATACCTAGCCTATCTCATAAAGGCGCTCAGTAATGCACGGCTATTGCAATATTGTAACTATATTTCAAGGATTTACCGAACTTGAAAAACTTAATTATTCAAAATGCATATTAAGCTGGGCCTATAATTTCACCTGCTAACACATCAATGCATGTTTCGAAATCTCAAAAAAACAATCACACATATAACTATTTTAATACCTAGGGCAAACATTGTTTAACGGCACATAATTTAAATTTGAATATCCGATATCTTGAACCTGCTATCGATATGTGAAACACGCAGCTGGCTGCGTACAGGTGGGCAGCACTAATTGGCCAAAATTCGATAGCACGACATTCAGTCGATGGCTCGCAGTAGCCGCATTTTGTTTGTTGTTGATTTTCTGCGTACAGATACGGAGTTCTGTCGAAATGAGTGTGAATATGTTTTTGATAAAGGAAGAAATTGATATAGATGACTCGAAGATGAAGGTGGGGGAAGGAGAGGATAGACAAACAGCATCGCAAGCAATCCAGTCTCCATGTAAGTGGTCGCCGCAATTTCTTGTTTGTTATGTACGTACATAAGTATGTTTCTGTGTGTGTGTGTGTGTTTGTATATACACGTAAATATTCTAAATATGTATGATAAAAACGATGTTCGGGTTTTGTTTTCCTCCTGTTTTTATACTCTCCCACACGGTGTTAAAGCGTCGCATTTTAGATATAGAAATTAATTTAGATACTATTTGAGTGAATTGATAAAATGTTATCATCATATATCGAATGCTAATGAGTTGTGAAAATATTTTGAATCTGTGAATTCAACTTACACTACAAACTGGACGCAAAAAAATTAAGAAGCCGCAAAAAATATGAAGCCCAAAAATTCAATTAACTTAAATGTGTGTCAATACAAAGTTTCATCAAAAATGTGTCGAATAGCCGTTTTAGAAGCAGATTTTGTGAACAAATATGCAAATGGGATGCGGATCGCTGGAGCTACAGAGTAAGTTAAAAGGGTTCTATGCTTTTTTTTTTATTTGATAATCAATTTACAAGTATTCTACTGTATTTCAGATATATTTGAAGTCCCTTTGTCAATCAACAAGTGCAAAGAAGACGCGAAGAAGTGGAATATAATCAGACATATATCTTTGAATATAGTTCGAAACGTTCAGATGGTGAATCATGAATTAATTTTGATGAATGTGGTTCAATTTATTGTTTAGGCTCTCGTTTGCTTTCCCCAACATCGTCTGCGACAGAAGCAACTAAATCAATGTCCGGAAAAATCAAATTCAACGCCGAAGGGTAGGAGATCGCAGAGGCCAGATATGTCGGATAGAAAGAGCATACCTGGTTCTTTGAGCAAATTTCAATGTCAATGCTTAATAACATTAACAGAAGCTCCCTATTCTCCGGGAAAATTTAAACACGATTTTAGATATACTTGTATATCTATTTAAATGATGTGAACACAGACGTCAGTCTGTAGTCAATTGATTAAGTAAATACTATGAACTACAGCTAGCAATGATTAATAAATGAATATATTTTACTGTTAAACTGGGAAGTGAGTTTGCATTGCGGATGATTTGTATGTTTCGTGCTAAAATATAGATGGCCTTAGCATAGTCCGATTGCTAATACAAGCGGGTTCCAGTAATAGAAAGAGGGTAATTCCTAGCCCTATCAGCATTACCATTTCCAGGAAATCTGCGAAGCCTTTAATTCCATTTTATTGAAAGATTTCTTTTTGAATAATTTATAAAGAACACCCACGGCATTTTCTCACCATTTTGGGAGAAGTATTTACAAGTATTCCTTGAAGTTTTATTTTTGGATTCACAATTTCTTATAATTTCCACACTAAATGACAATACATTGAGTGTTATCATATGCTTTCCGATGATTGATTGGGGTGGTTCTGGACGCAATACTGCTGGTCCCGAATTTTTACTTTGATACTTTAAATTGAAACAAGTGTAAAATTAAATCACTTTCGGCTCTGTTATTATTAATGAGACAATTCAGTAAACGATGTCCAATCTTTTAACACTAAAAAGCAATTAAGTATGGAATTGTCTTTAAATTTCTGTCCTTTTTATGTGTTAGGTGAACCAAAATCTAAGCGCAGAAGAGAAAATGAAACAAAAAGATGGACGTATGAGGAAATTCGTAAAATACTGGAATACATGAAGCTATATAGAAACGTAGAAGTGAGTTTTGTGATTTATATTTGCCTTAATATGCCATTGTTAGTGAAAATCATAAATATCATAATAATTTCAGAAACCAACTGCCCAAATTTATTACACAAAGCTCATACAAAAACTGAGAATCAAGTGCACGTGGCACACACTGAGGTGTAAAATGCGGTACATGAGGCAGTTGCTGCTTAAGGCGAACGCACTTCGTAACTCCGCTGGTCCGGGCTTAGAGGACGGAGATGGTGAAATACAATTATTATTAAAGGGTTTGTTAAAACATGTCCAATATTTAAGTTCGTATATTGTGATTCATAATGGTCTCTAATCGCAGAAAAGATAATGAAAATGTGCCCCCATTATGACCAGCTTTTAAGCGTGTTTGGCCCTGAAAAAGATTTAAAACCTCTAGTCCTGCAAACGACGCCTTTCAGCGACAACTGTAATGAGTCGAGTGACTGCGAAACGTCTACCTTGCCAAGCGGAACCGACGAAGTACCTGCGGACAACTCTAGGTCCGACTATGGCGAATACCCAATCCATGAACCAACAAGCTACCTGGAGGAATTCAATGAGACACCGCCCGAAGCAGACACAATCGACCGGATGTCATGCTTAGAGGCTCAAAGAATTGAACTGATGGAGAAGCAGCTGACGCTTGAAACAGAAAAGTTTCGATGGGCCAAGGAAATGGAGGTGAAAAAATTCGAGGCGATGAGGGAGGCGGAATCAAGAAGAATAGCCATTGAGGAGAGAAAGCTGGCGATTGAGGAACGAAAACTACAAAACGAACATGAGTTACGTGTATTAGAACTGAAATATAAATATGAAAAATACTTGTTCGTTTTATTCCAACATTACTTTGTAGAGACCTTCTTTCCAACATTTAATTGACAACTAGGATTACCTTAAAAAGAGAATTTTATCTTATAATGAGAGATTTATTTTATATTCTTTATCGTAGAAAACTTTTGATTGCTATGGTGTAAGCGTTGAATATCTGTTAAGAAAGTTGTTCAGGAGCTTTACCCCTTTTTAAGAATATGACATACTTGAAGTATGAAGACATGGCTAAATCTAACTTTCGAGAAATTTTGTGTAGTATCATTAAAATTCTTAACAATAGGTACAGGAGTTTCTAACTATTGAAGAGAAAGACTACGACAAATATATTGGCATATGCTGGCGACAAATAGTCTTCGATGAAGCGACTCAGCCATTTTCTTGGAACAAAGTAAAAAAATGCATACAGGACAAAAAAGAACGTTACCTTTTTGAAATATCAATTAATCGCCATTGATTATTGATACTGGGTTCACCAGTAATATTAACAATAAAGTTGAAGTCAAACATCTTTGCAATATTTACAATGCATTGTTGGTTCATGCAGAATTGAATTAGTTTAATTTCGAATCAACATACCTGGAGAGTTAGGAAGCACCTGCAATCATGTCTGAACCAATCCGCAAGGTGCAATGGATGCAGAGCCCCAAAGCGGTCGCAATATTATCGCCAGGAATTATTGCGTAAATCGGTAGAATGTCTGACATAAGTTTAACTTAGGAATACCACATAGAAACAGCGTAAACGTGCCATGCATATAAAGCTATGTATAATATAAAACTCCTTTTTACAATTACGATTCCTTCTGCTTTTTAGATTCCTCTCCACTCGTGTCACATAAAAACCAAAGACCTGCCAATATTAACGTTGCGCCCACTCCGGATAGAGCTGTGAGTGGTTCTTGATAAACAAGTGCACCTAAAATAAACTAAAAAACAAACTACATATGTACAAATTATGAACATATAATCAAGTAAATAGCCTCATACCGATAACACATAATTTGAAGCGGCTGTCAAGACGGTGGCGGTAAGAGTTTGTGGTGTCATCTGGAGGGCCTTCAGGAAAAACCGCCAGTTAAAAACATTACAAACCACCATTAAGACCAATGGAAGCAACTGAAACATCAGTTTATCTAAATAAACATTTGATTATGTACATACATTTACAAAAATTAAAAATGCAATCACACTAACACTCACCCATATAGTACGCCGCTCCTTCTGATGATGGCGTTGCCGATCTGTGTAAGATTTGTTGAGCGCTGAGAAAACTTGGCAGTTTACCAAAGAAACTACCACCAGCAGCAAAAGCGCCAGCCAAAAAACTGTAACGGTAATTTAGAAGCGCTTGCATTTTGAAAAATTTGGCGAAATTCGTCGTAGTCGAAACGTGAGCATTGCGCTTATCAGCTGGTTAGTTGCTTGTTAAGTTGGCTGCGCAACGACTAGCGTTGCCATGCCTGTGATGAAAAACCAGTGCACCTCAAACTGTGGCTTCTATTTGGCGCGAAAGCTTAATATCAAGACCTCAATATCTCCACCCTTCAGATTGATGAATTAATTGAATAAAACTGAAAATACTAGATTATTAGAACACTCTTTAACGTTTGAGCTTTGTTTATAGATGATAATTATAATTAGCTTTTTATTCGTTTGCATTTCCTGATAAATGAAAGATTTATAAACTAAAACAACATGTTTAATATTTAAACAAAGATTTTATTTTCAATTGTTGTAGTTGCAAAGTCTGTGTTTGTTTTGGTTTTACAATTTAATTTGTTAGACATTTATAAGTTTTATTGATAATTGTTCTTGTCTGCTAACTTTCGGCGCGTGCTTGCTTGTTTTTACCGATTTCCTTGCTGCCTTTCACTACAATTTGCTATTTGTATTGCATGTTTTTGTTACATTTAGGTATATAATTGTTTTGATGTAGATTATAAGTGTAATTTGCATAATACTCTGCACGCCTGTCACACAGTAAGCAAATATTTGATAAGAACTAGCAATAAACAAAAGTTCTTAAGGTATACATAAATATTTTGCCTGCACATATAACCTAATAAACTGCTCACATCGACATTTTTTAAACATTAAATTGTATAATTATATATGTATATATATATATATATATCGTATATATAAATTTGTATCGTATATTTGTGTATGTGTATGTGTGTATTTGTATTGTATTTGCTTGATAACCCCTTTCGCAACGGCTTAGGAAAATGCCACGACTTTGAGCCGCTTATCTTAATGCTTTTCAAATTTGTCTATATGAAATAATTATTAGTTCATAGAATTGAACTGCCTACTACAATTTATACAAAACTCTTTTAATTGTTTTTTTTTTTTTTTTAGTTTTTCGACTTTTTCCACTAAGTACTAAAATGCTAAAAAAGACACTTTTTGCTTGCTTCCGATTTGTTGCCAGGCATCAAATTGCTAAATTAGTTCACAAAATTTTCATTCGTTTATCGTTTTAAGATCAAGTTACACAATTTTATTTATGTAGTTAGTATGCCTTTTTATTTCGCTTCAGTTGCCAAAACCCAACCCAACCCCCGTCCCCCTAACGTACATACATATGTATGTACGTATGTACATATTTTGGTAAGCTTAGCGGCTGGCAATTTAAAATCCTTTGTATGTAGTTTAGTGTATAATACCCTGTTGATTCTTTTCTCCCCACCCCCCTTACATGAGTACGCAGCATTTGCGACTCGAGCTTGTACTGTCGCTGACGACATCGCCGGTAATTCCGCTAAATTTGTTGACGTTTCCCGGAACGGAGGCGCCACCTCTTCCGCTGCTGGGTGTACCAATGGCGCTGGCCATATCAAAGTCCAGCAGACTGGAGCTCAGGCCGAGTGGTTGTGTCGAAATTGGTGCAGCACCGTTGTTATTGTTGTTGTTAGTGTTGTTGTTGTTATTATTGTTGTTGTTGTGATTGACCGTAGTGGCGGCTCCTAAAACAGAACCATTAGTTGTGGCATTGTGTTGTGTGTTGTTGGTATGGTTGTTGTGTGTGTGCGTATGTGTGTTGTTGTGCGTGGGTGAGAGTTCAAAATTGTTAAGCACATTAGCGGTGCGCGAAAGCGAGCGTTGTTTTTTCAAATTCGACAAGGTGGCAGCGCTGTAACCATCCATAGCAACATGTTGCTGAAGCTGTTGCTGTTGCAACAGTAAGGCATGTTGTTGCTGCTGCTGCTGATGCTGCTGCTGTTGTTGTTGTTGCTGATGATGCGTGCTGTTCGTGTCTACATGAAGCGTGGGTGGTTGAGTGGTGTTTGATTGTTGTTGTTGGTTGGTGATGTTGTTTTTTTTTTTTGTTTGTTGGTGATGCGAGCGGGCAGACGACACAAAACGGGCGGGCGAAACAAAAACAGAAAAATACGAGCAAATGTTATTTAACTTAGACGTTTTTTTTTCTTTTACACATACACACACAGACGAGTATGTGGGTGCGTGTGTGTGTGTGTAAGCGCGAAAGTTCGAGTTGTTTGAGTTGTGGTTGGCTTGGCTTTGTTTTAAGGAGGGTCGTTAAATAAACATTAAACATTGACATTGGCAAAAACAAGAACAAAAACAAGAACAAGAGACAAAAGCTGTGTGTGAATATGTGTGCGAGAGGGAGAGAGTGTGAGTGTGTTTTGTTGTTGTTGTTGTTGCAGTCAATTTATGCGATAAAAATGCAATCTAAAGCGCTCTACATGAACTAAGCTTAGCCAGAAAGCTGAAGAGCTGGAGAGCAGCGTTTAATCCTTTTACTTACCCACTAAAACGGTCACCTGGACATTAATCTTGCCATTGGCTGCGTCCTTCGACGATTGAATCTGCACAGCCTCGGCACTCGCCGCCGTACCCTTCTCGGACAATATGACAGCCGCAGAGGTGGCGCGTTGCATTTCCCCATTTCCACCGCTCACTTTTCCGCCGCCGGCCAGTTGCAATTGCAGCTCATCGTTCTCACGGCCATCGGGCGGACGGCGCGGTAGATAGGAATGTGTCGTTGTCTGCGTGGTTGTTGTTGTTGCCAATGGGCCTGAGGGCGTTGTGTCCACAGCATCGGCGGATTTCGAATGCGGCAGCAGCTGCATATTATTGTTGTTGCCGCCCGCATGATAGCCATAGCCGTTGTGCAGTTCACCGTTGAGAGCCGACGATGAAGAGGAAGTGGAATTCGTGGCCGCTCCTGTCGTGTCCGTGGCCTCCTGTGCCTGCATACGGAGACGAGCCTCTTCCACGGCGTCTTTTTTGGTTGTAAGCGTCTTGTCGCGCAGGGAGGTGCGACGCACCGATTGGGCTCTGGAATGAAGGCGAAGTATGGGTCGTGTCAGCTGGCCATTTCTGGAAAGGTAGAAGGTATGCCTTACCTGGTATTGTTGCTCTGTGAGCGTCGAACGCGCCTTCGTTGCGCCTCCGCCAGTCGTTTGCTCTCCTGTTCCGTTTTCAGCTGCTCTATGCGTTCCCTAATTTCGGGGTCTTCACAAATGTCTGCAGCGGCATTATTGAAAAACATGATTAAAAACTATACTAATATAAATTCAGAAATCTTTGCCTACCCGAAGGCGTTTCATCATCCTTGTTTTTCACGTTCAAATCAGCACCGCATTGGGCTAGCATCTCTAGGACTTCAAGCTGGAGGTAGAAGTAGATGCAGAGTATTATGTGAAATATTCAAAACTGAATTAGCAAAGTAAATTATTATCTCTTCAACTCCAGTTCAAACTTAGAAACATATGTGTGTATTTGAAACGAGTCTTAAAAACTCAATCATCAGTCCTTGATCCCTTATGGTTTGCGAAATAAAATCGCTACAAAAATAGTTCTTATGAAATGGTTTTGGTAGCATTTAAAGTGCCAGGTTCATGGCCTAGAACAATCTTTAAAAGCAATACATGAAATCCTTACGAGTAAGTTAAATTATTGAAGTGAAGGATCGGCAACCTTTCCTGTGACGGCGGGGTTTCTGTCAATTTTTAGCAGGTTTTATAGGTATTTATAGCAGAGTTTCTAACCATTTTCTAGCTTTTTCTCTCTCTATTTTTAGTGAGTTCTGTAGACATTTTCTGGCAGATTTTTTACCCTTTCTCTAACTCATATTTAATCATTCCAATACAACTTTTAAATTTCAGTTCTAACGCCATTAAAAACAACTATTTAAAAAAAATCAACTCGATCTTGAACAGGTTTCGGAACGTACATACCAAATTTGGTGCCTTTAATTCAAATTCGAAGATCTATGAAGATCAAGCATCGCTTGAACGACTCGTTCTGTATTTGAAATGAAACATATATTTGTGGGATCTGCATTTCTTCTTTTGACCATCATGTTCAAGAGAATGATTCCATAGTATCAATTTCACGTTTTAAAACTCAAAAGAAAGCTTAGTAATAAAAATTGCAATTCATATAATAAAGGCAGACTTGGAGAATCTCTTGAGCGAGAATGCTTTAATTAATTATTTGGCAAAACATGGTCCGCCACTTCACACCTGAAGTGAACAAAAACTGAGGAAACTGAACTCAGGGGAAAGAAACAGTTCAGCGAAAAAAAGCGAAGACAGTTTTATTTGCACGCAAGGCGATGACTTCACTTGCTTGGGATGCGCGTGGAAAAAATTTAATTAGGCATCATTAGTAGGGAGAAAAAAAAGAACAGCGGCAAGTATTTCGCGAACTTATTTAGCGTTTGAGTGAAAGAATAAATGGTCTCATCCGGTAAAAGATTTGCTAAAAATGTTTAAATTGAGTTTCGTGGGTGTGTGAAGAAATAAATGTGGAGCTATTAGGGAACTTTACCAAGAACTCAATTAATATTCTCCCCAATTCTGTTTCTAATGTTCTGACATTGATAAACACTCCCAATATTTAAAGGAAAACCCACAAAAAAATGCCTTTTTGAATTGACACTTACATGACCCCAGCAGGCAGCTGCATGCACTGGTGTCCACAGATCCTTGTCCATAGCATCCACATTGACGTGCTGTTCCAGCAGGAACTCCACCACTCGAACATACCCATTGGCGGCCGCTATGTGCAACTGGAAATAAATGAGAATTCAAATAAAAGTTTAATACGAGTAGAAAAGAAATGTACGAAAAGTAATCGTATGCTTACCGGCGTGGCGCCCTGATAGTCGGGCTCTTCCAAATCGCCACCACTTCGGGCCAGCTCCATCAAATCCCTCAGCATCACACGCTCGGTGGAGGAGCGCGTCTCATCGATGAGCTCCTGCGTCACACCCCGCTGGGCCATCTCGCCCTCAATGAAATCTAGTGTGTTCTCATCATCGCACAGATCGTACGGCATGTTGCCGTCCGTGTTGACAGCCAAAAGATTAGCACCATGCCGTATCAGTATCCGCACAAGCTCCAAGTGTCCGCACGTGGCAGCCGCATGCAGCGGCGTCCACTTATCACTGTCCTGGGCATCCACATTGGCCCCATACTCCAGCAGCAGCCTCAACATGTCCACATTGTTGTCAATGCAACATTGATGCAGAGCCGTCAGGCCATCCTCGTTCGCGGCATCTGGTGTGATGCCGTGCTGCAGAAGCGCCGCCACCTCCTGCATATCGTTGCGCGAGGCCGCCTCCAGCAGGACGACGCTGTTTTCGAAGGATATGTGCCGACGACCGCTGAGCGTGGCGCCACCATTCGCGTGCCTAAAATGGTGTGTGGTGTGGGCCGTGTCGCTGCCGCCATTTAAATGATTGCTGCTCGGGATGCCGCCGCTGCTGCTGCTGCTGTTACCCTTGGCCCGTTGCAGCTTCAGCCACTCCTTCTCCTTCTGGCGCGCCAGCTTCAGCTGCTGGGCACGACGCCTATGGTGATGGATGGAGAGCAGAGATTAGGCCATCAATCAATGTAAACAAAAGACGTGCTGCGGTGCAGCAGGGACGTGTTATCCTGCGAATGTTGCCTGACTTGCAGCGAACAATGAGTCTTAATTTGTCCAGACACCTGCAGGTGCCAGAATCAATGCAAGCAGCACTTGCCGTGTCATACCAGAATGAATTTACATAAATTTTCCTTTGCCTCAGCGAAATTGAACAGAGCACTACTGGAGTTAAATAAAGAGCTGAGTCATAGTCGCATAAGAGCCACCTACAAAGACCTTATTAGAATACGGCCAGATTTGTGCCCTCAAGCCGGATGGACAAAAGTCAAGGGCCCCTATTAGTTTGATAGATTTCTGTCAACCCTAACCAGATGTAAATGATTACAAATCACTCTCAAAAATCAATAGCCGTATGCTGTAGCAGGAAAGGTGAAATTTATTCCACTTCACACCTAAGCCGAACACTTTTTGCAACATATGCAAAAAATGTGGCAAAACATTATTTTATTTATTCCTATTTGGGCGTTCAGCCCGAAAAAATCGTTTCGAGTCTATGGTAAGGTTTTAGAGTAAAAATGTGTGGCCAACATGTCGTATGCGCAACGAACTTGTACAACAAGTTGATTTTTCATCATCTTAGAAGCAAAGATTGCTTTAAATATACTAGTATTTTAGATGCTTGGAGACAATTAGGCTTAATTGAGTAAGTTTGGATAACAGCACACAATTCCAATTAGTCTGCTCATAAAAACACATGGCCGAAGGTGGATTTTGGACACGATTAATTAAGTGCTGCCTAAACCGAATAGGCGTCTCAGACCAAGTTAACAACTTTAGTAAAGTTAAATAAAATATATCAGAGCGCTGTTTTATGGTTTTTAAAAGAGTTGCCTTTACATAAATAAACTTGTTTTTAGATAAAGATGTATGGATATCCCATATATAGCTTTGTTATAGAAAAAACGAGTTTTAAAATTGTTTTAATAAATGCAATGCCTTTACACTTGAGAAGGGTCCTTTTCACATACTAAGAATCCTAATTTGCAAAAAACATATAAAGTGAAGTGGCATTCTCATAAGGACTTCCATTTTTATATACTTATATAGAATAATACATAGAATCCTAATTTGCAAAAAACATATAAAGTGAAGTGGCATTCTCATAAGGACTTCCATTTTTATATACTTATATAGAATAATACATAGATACTCTATATAGCTTAATTACAAAAGAAACATGTTCTTTTTCCTGCCATATTACGTTATTATATTATATTATGGTTGAGAATACTAAGAATCGTAATTCTCATTTTTAACCTACTTTTGTGCTTTCTTGTGCTTTGTTTTTGGTTGCATTTGCACAAATATTATATTTAATTATAATATTGAAGAATTGTTAAGAAACCCGAAATTATGTAGATAAGCATTTTCAAAGAAAGCTAGAAAACTGAATTTTTTCGTCCTGTAAAAGCATTTTATTCTGGAATTATTGTATTTTAATATTAATAACTATTTTTATGTTAATTTATTTGCTTTTTTCATTATGAAAGTTAATCTTTATAATTATTATGCAAGCACGGCATAGGCAGCATAAACGAAACGTGTACCCTGGAAGTATGCTGCGGTTAATTACAAACATGCTCCGAAAACCTAATCAATGGAGCTGCGTAATCTCGAACATATATTTAATAATATATTGTTAAAATGTAAGCAACGGGATGACTTTCATTCAATAAATAAAATATTGTTAAAATGTAAACAACGGGATGGCTTTTATTTTATAAGATTCGAAATGTTGGAACGTTTTGCGCAATTGAAAAGATATCTGAACAAACTCCTTGAGACCCCTATTTGAATTAAGAAATTGTTGACTGATTGCATAACTAACTACTTGTATAATATTAATCATGTTTTAATTATGTGACATTGCTTTTTTCGAACTTTGTACTTACAATCTGGCTAGCTGCAAGCGTTCATGTGTTGGCAAACTTTCCACCGTTTGCATTTCGGCCACCAGATCGGCGTGCTCCATTTTGAGCTGTTTCGTATAGCTGGCATCCTCCTGACTTTTTCGCTGTATTAAAATGCCTTTGATCATTGTTGTGCGATGATGTTTCTTTATATGTTTTGTAGGCTGTGTTGCCGCAGCTACTTATTCCTGCCTCTCTTCGCTTATTTGATATGTTTTGCTTTAAATTTTATTCAATTTGCCGCAGCAATTGACTCGGGGCAGTTGTTCTTTTTGTTGTTGCTGTAGTTGTTGTTATTGTAACCATACGAGTAGTTGTTGCTGCCCTTGTTGTAGTTGCACGTTGTCTGTATGCAAATTGTAATTTGCATCTTTGAATTTGATTTGTCTGCGTCTGGTTGCGGCTGCTTCCCGAACTGCAGTTGCTTTTGTTGCAATTGCTGGTGCTATTGTTATTGTTATTGTAAATAGTTGTAGTTGTAGTTTTTGTTGGGGCCGCTTTTGTTGTTTTCATTTGTGCAGCTGCTGTGCACTTTCAGTTTGCCTCAAGGCGGTCATGGCAGCAGCAGAAACGGCGACGTCAACGTCAACGGCGTCGTGTCCTTCGACTTCACACTGTTTGCTTTTGATTCTGATAGTTTGTTTGCTCACTTTTGAAACTTTTTTGCCAAAAGACGCTGCAAGTGGAAAAGAAGAAGCTTATTTTAAAGATATGTTTGTATTTACTGTACGTTTATTTAATAGTTTAAGTTGGTGCTGAAAAGCATCAAGCACCGCAACGAGTTCGTCTAATTACTTTCATTGAAACAGACGAACAGATTGTTGTGTGCAGCTTTTGAGCTGGAAGTGGGTTTTAAAGAGTAAATAATTTATAATTTTTAATTCTTCAATATCTCTATAGTATATATGTTCTGGATTTCACTTTATAAAACTAATTTTGTACTCATTTTGTAATCACCGAATATTGTGTTCGTAATAATTAATCCAATTCCATTTTTAAAATAGTTGTTTAGTTCAAGTAACAAAAGTTTAAAAAAATATAAAATTAATGGTTTATAATTTTCTGAAAATGTAGAATACTTTTGCTATTTGAAAATTGATGGCTCCAGCCAGCTATGCCCCGATTTACAGCCAAATATTGTCAGGGACATAATGAGTTTCCAAAAATTAAAAAAAAAGTTACTTAAAAATAGTGGATATAAGAGAATAACTTAATTTTAATAATAGGTAATTAGATTACTTAAGGAACAAAAAATAAAAATTAAACTGTCCGCCAACTCAAAGCCATGTGTAATCAGAGATTTGACCGAGAATGGTTATGAGGAGGCGTTAAACTTTAGGGAAATGTTGAATGAAATGTCTCCGAGCTTGTGTTTGCCTCTCGAGAAGAAGTGTTTCCGCAATTTTACACAGTTGCGACCAAAAAGCACAGTTAATGAATCAAGTTCCTTTTCATAGAGAGTTATATTTCATTTTACCGCAGTTGCCACAGAACCAGACGAACACATCAAAAAATTCACTCTATCGGGACCAAATAAACAGTGCGCTGCAGAAGCAGTTCAACTATTCAACTCTTATTTCTATGTACAAGAAAATTAACAGCGAAGCGAGTTCATTAGCTTTGTTTAAATATGCTTTATACCCTTTTTTTTTTTTTTTTGTTATATCTAACATTTATTTAAGATCTGTTAAATTTTATGAGACCTTTGAGATTGGAATCATGCTTCTGCCATTTGAGTTTCAGTGTTTTGAAGAGTATGCGTAAATGCTTTATTTTTAAACTATTGGAAGATGCTTGAGGAGGTTTAAATGCAATTCAATATCATTAAACATTTACAATAGTCTACATTTTCATAGCTAGGTTCTTTATTTATGTTCTCTTCTAATTATAAGTAATTTAGCAGTGAGTCTTTGTGTACCAAAAGCCAGTATTGGACTGATTCTTTATTTAAATAATTTTAGCAAACGCTTCGAAATGGTTTGAAATTTAAAATTTACAAGAAAATACCCTGCACATGTCTCTATTAATCTTTATCTTTCCATTTCAAGGTAGTCCGGTGTATTACTTTTAATTATTAATTTACTTTTTTCTTTTATTAGGTGTTCAGTTCACATATAAATATCTACTGTAGTCCCAAAAAAACTGTGCCTGAAACTTCAGTTAGTTTGTATTTCGACGCTCATTGTTAATAGCTTTCTTAAAAAAGGTGTTTAATTTAACATTTTTTAAATAAAATTTAGCGGCGATTTTACTTAGGTCTTCTAGAAAATAAATACATCGATTTTATTTTATTTTAATAAAATATTCATATTTTAAATCAATCATATTATTAAAAAGTGGAAGTGAAAACAGAAGCAGAATTCCGAGCTCGACCGAAACAGACAAATATATTTAGTTTAGGGAGCACTATTGGCTCAAAAATTGCAGTTCCTATTTAACGAATCGAACCACTTGGATTTCTTCTTTTTAAACGCATCTCAGACACATTGGTGTTAAGAGTCAAATGTTGAAGGCAGGCACTGATTAATGTTGGCATCAAATTGTGCGCCAGTCTATTAAGTTGCACAGTTGCGCATTTTGCCGCCCCCATAGTCAGTCAGACAGCCAATTGAGCTAATGGTTCAGCTATCACACATACGCCCCGTTGCCAATGCCAATGGCAGCGTTGTTGCATTTTATGGCTGGCATTGGTTTGGCTTTGGGGGGGTTTTTGTTAGCCTTTTTTGTCGGACGGTCGGATCGGATGGGTGCGTTCAAGTGTAAAAAGAAGGCGAAGTGGTTGGATGACGCATCTGGTGCAAACGAACCTAGTCCTGCGTCCCGCCTTGCACGTCCTTTGCCTGGCTGGCATTGAAAACGGTTGGCGCATGTTACGCATTGATAGTTTAATGCCTTAAATAAGTTTTAGCTGCTTAGTTGGCAGACCGACATGGACAGCTTGCTCTTATGTGAGTTTCAGCCACTTATGAACTGTTATACACATACGATAGTTCCAGTCCAGTCCTTGTTGCTGCAGCAGTGAGTCAGAGCTTGTGAGCAATATGTGTGTAAATGGAATTTTAAAACAGACGCCTGTGGCCATATGGTATGCACAGAAAGTTTGAAAGACTCTGCCACAGCGTTTGCCAGACTCCAAGTCTCTCATTTCTTATGCCCTCTTTGTGTGCAACTAGGCTAATAGAGAAGAGCTCTGTGTGCTAACATATGAGTGGTGCAGTCCAAAAGCTGCTGGAATGCGCCATTTTATTGGGTGTTGGTGCAGCATGTTGAAGGAACGAACACAGAAAATCGAATTAGCCAGAAACTGCTGATTCCATTGCATTATCATATATTTGCATATATGCACAAATAAGGAACTCGACGTCAAAAGTTTGGAAAATCGAAAGTAGTAGTTCCATCTAAATTTTTTTTTTTGAAGGTAACATGACGGTTTTCATTCCACAACTATTTCTGGCATTTCTCAAAAGTTAAAGGGCTTTTACTAAATATGCAAATTCAATAACATAAATAAACATATGAAAAATAGTTAAAAAGAGAGTGGTTGTTGGATGCATTATGGCCATTAAAGTCTAATAAAGATCACGCTCTCTTTCTTTTATTAACTGAGTACTATAGTTTAATTATTTATAATAAATAATAAACATATGAAAAATTATTTAATAAATCTACATATAATTTAACTTAATTGTAATGCAGTTCTAATGACCTTCCCGGTGCTTATAGTGCTTATCTTATTTACCATTCAACCAGTAGCAGATATTCTAAGCAAAAATTTTGCTAGAGACCAAAATATGATTTTAAAAAAGAAAAAAGTGTATTTTTTATCCTTGGGAATATGTTGTGTTTCAGGTTGTGTAATTGTGTGTTGATTTGTATGTGTCTCATGCATTATTCAATTATGTTGCTAAACTATTATTTTGAATGCCCTGCTTGCTAGATACTTATCAAAAACATAATTCATACATATATCCTTCGGGTACAGGGTATATAAATATCCCATTCTCCCTAGAACTAATAATAACTGCAAACAAATATATATATATATATATATATATATCAAATTGATATGCCAATTATGTTCTTAAATACCATTCAATCAGAGTTAAAATCGTATTTTTATTGATGAAGTAAACATAAGTAGCAGTGTCAATAAAATTTAAAGCTCGATTTAAATCTGAAACAGCACACGCATGTATGTATATATTATATATAGCATGCATATCAATGCATATATGTACTTATTTTCCATGAACTTGTGCGGACGCACAAGTTGTGAATAACGGTTGAGCGAGCAACTGGGGAAAATTTTGTTTCATAAATTAATAAATAAATGATGAACAACAAAAACACTCAAGTTTCGTTGGAAGTGTAAAAAAGAAAATGCCATTCATAGCAAGGATCACTGAAAGACAAATTAAAATTGCCACTTAATAGCAATTTGGATGTTTAAACGTGAATAAAGAAAAGTCTTTTTTCAAAATGCTTTGCTTGTAAGTCGCTTTGCTTTGCTAAATTATTCTGTCTCTTCAATACTTAGTTGGGATTTCCACTTGCAACTTATCGAGCGTCGCATACAATTTAGTTCGGCACAACTCAAATGGTAGTAGCTCCCCTTTCTCATTTGGACAACTCATCGACATCATTTACTTAAAGCTACCAAATTGCAACAATCCGCCCCTTCCTTCTCTCCGGCATGGCACCAATTGCTGCGCACATATTTGGTCGGTCAAACCCCAAAACAAACTGGCACCTGGGGGCTTTCCTCTTCTTTTCTTTTTTTTTTTATGTATTAGCTCTTGATCGAGAGGCGCGCTGCGATGGCAAAGGGAAAAGCAAAGCAAAGCATGGCGCAGGGCAGACAATCAGCACTCGAATTTAATTTGCATGGCCTGTGCCCGCACGGACGAATTGCGCCTCAGCTGGGCGCTCAATTCAGCTCCACACAACACAGTTCTGCTCAGCTCGACTCGGTTGGGCTAGGCTGGGTTGGGCTCGACTCACGTGCTCTGGATTTATTTGATTTTCATTTCATTTTTCGGGCCGTGCGGCGTCCCATGCGGATACTGACTGACATACAAACACTCACACTCACACGAACACGAGCACACATACACACACACACAGACAAAGCAAGGCATATGCAGGACAACTAAAAGCAACAGCAACTATAATTTTCACAGCACAGCTGGCGCTGCATTGCCGTGGCACACTTTTGGGCGCCAGCAACAGACCCAAAACAACAAAGTTGAAAGTCACACACACACACACACACACACACATTGAAAAGAGTTAGAGGTGGGCGTTGGACGTGATTATAAGAGCGCTAATCTATAGCTGAATATGATTAGCATACCATTAGCAATACACACGCTAATTTAAACATTAATAGATATTAGATATTTTAGAGACCAATTGGAACAGCCAAAATACTACAAAAATCTTTATGTTTTTATTTATTTAAGCTTAACGGTGTCTTATGCTCAGTGTTTCCACACAAATGTGTATAATTCTAGAGCCTAAAATTAAAGTCTAAAACTCTGTGTAAAGGATGCCTCGTTTAGTTACATAGCTACACTTGAAATGATTATCGTTTACTTAACAGCAGCAGATAGCGTGTTCTCTTGCTTATTTGTCGGCAAATTATTCTGACCCCATACTTCATGCGAATATACATTT